CCTTCAAGGCTCAGGGGTCCAAGATTATCTTCTGTGTCTGTGTTAATTGGTTTCCCTTTTCTTTGTTGAAGAGGGTCTGTGCAGTCCTTCTGCCTAGTCCGCCATCTTGCCCCGCCTCTCTCTCACAGTTCTGAACCAGAATTCTGACATCAGGATCTCTGGGCTGAAATGAGGGTACCCTCAGGGCTGAGCTCCCTCTGGGGGCTCCAGAGAGGATTTTTTCCATGTATTCTCCAGCTCCTCTTGGCTGCTGGCATTCCTTCACTTATGGCCACATCACACCAGTCTTCAAGTCCAGCATCTTCAAATCTCCATCTTCACATAATTTTCTCCTCTGTGTGTGTCAGATCTCCCTATATATCTCACTCCAATGAGGATACATGTGATTATTTTAAGACCCACTCAGATAATCCAGGACAGTCTCCTCATTTCAAGATCTTTCTCATCTTTCTCTTAATCACCTTTATAAAGACCTTTTTTCCAAATGTTGTTGTTGTTGTTATGTGCCATCAAGTCAGACCCGACTCATAGTGACCCCTCCTTAGGTTTCTGAGGCATCATCACTACAGAAGTAAATTGCCCAACCTTCTTTCGAGGAGTGGTTGGTGGGTTTGAACCGCCAGCCTTCTGGTTAGCAGTCAGGTGCCTGAGGCACTATGCTACCAGCGCTCCCTTTTTCCAAATAGATGACATTTATAGATGCCAGAGATTGGGACTTGATGTTTTGGGGAGCCGTTATTTAGCCTGCTACATTGCTATGCCAAGGCATGGTATCATTAGTTAAAATATTACTTTTATTCTATGGAGCTCTGTCAGTTCTTAGTTACCTGTAACAAAGTATAAATAATGTCACAGATAATACAATTGAAAAACTCATCTAGTTTTTTTTTTTTTCCCCCTGTGGGATTATTGTTTATTGTATAGCAGTTGGGATTTATTTTCCTGTCAATTTATATCACTGCCATATTTGAAACCTCAAGTGAATTAAATGATGTAGATACAAAAAAAGGATGTTTAGGCTATGCTGAGGCACAGAAATAAGCCCTGGTTCCCCTTTGCTTCCCCGTTACTGGCTACCGCCTGTATATGTTCCATTGGAACTTCTTAAGCTCTACGTCTACTTTTAAAGTGATTGATCTAAAAGCATTTGGTGTAAGCAATTAAATTTTTCATATATATGGATATGATATAACTAGATTTATAGCTTTAATTAATTTTCAGAGTGTTCCTTGGAAGCGAGAATGGTCAGACTTTGTCTTACTTACTTTGGTCATGTTGTCAGAAGGGACCATTCCCGGGAGAAGGATATCATGCTTGATAAAGTGGAGGGTCAACGATAAAGGGGAAGACCCTCAACACGGTGGATGGACACAGTGGCTCCAATGATGGGCTCAAGTATAGCAAGAGTTGTCAGGCTGGCACAGGATTGGGCAGTGTTTTGTTCTGTTGTCCATAAGGTCACTGTGAATCGGAGCTGACTCGACACCTAACAACAAGAAGTTCATCATTAATTATCGGTTGCACCTATATTAGAGGATTACTTCCTGTTTATGGATCAATAATGTTTCATGAGTTTAATGCTTGGAGAGAAGTCACTTTCCATTTCTGTTTTCCCTTTGTCTTTCTCTGTCTCTTTCAACAGCACTAGCATCTTCTCTAGGTACTGAAAGCAAAAATAATAGAGCTATTCTAGAAACCTTGCCTTCTGTTTCCAATCTTTTAATGTTCATTTTTTGTCTTGATGTTTAACCTCATCTTAACACTGTCTCAGTCTCTCCTCAGGTAGAATCTTGATATTGCAAACAGAAGGATCTTTGTAAACTTCAAATCTTACCATGTCATTCTCTCATTAAAGACTTTTCAATGTTATCATCTATAGAATAACTTCTAAATTTTTACATAACATCCTATAACCCTTGTAATCTGGTATGTCTCCTACCACTCTCCCAGACATTTGTACTCCAGCTAAAGCATAGTTTCCTAAATGTGTCATGGTGTCTCAGCCTTTCGTGCCTTTGAATCTACTCTTCTCTCTTCCAAGAGTACCCCTTCTACTGTCTGTTCTATATTGTGAGATCCTGATAGGCTATTCTGTTCATTGCTTGTCACATTGTAAGCATTAAATAATGTTGAATAAATTTCCTTGATAGAAAAATATTTTTCTATTCAGTTTAATTTTAGGAGTACCTAGTAGCCTTAAATAAGCTCAAGTTTCTAAACTGAGACAAATACCGAAGTAATGAATTAATGTACAAATGTATTTGGGGACTTACTAGTGATGATCTTTGAGGATTCATGGAAAATGGAAGAAGAGTCAGAAAAATTAGCAAATTATTTTTTTTTTTCAAAAAGTAGATTCTACTTCAGAAAACAATAGACTTAGCAAGCTTTTCCTACTGATTACAACAGGAAGTAGGTGGTTTGTCAACATGTAAGGAGGAAGTGATCATCACCAGAGCCAAAAATGGCCACTTAATCCCAAGGCCCTCTTTGCTGGGATTGTTAGTGCTTATTATAAGGCTATATGTGGTTAATTGTGGTCTGGATTATTGCTAACTTGGGTAGATTCCTAGCCCAAAATACGCTTAAATCAAAAACACATGTTAAGTACCAAAAGAATATCTCTATGGACTTAATTCATTCAAAACCAATACATACTAATCATAGTTGTCACAAACCTGGAAAACACATTCAACAATAGAATCAGAACTTAAAACAGTGTTTAGAGGATTGATTGATGGGACAAACCCAAAGAGAGAAATTTTATAAAGGTAAATACAAAACCTTGTAGTTAGGTAAAGAGAAAATAACTTCCATAAAGTTAGAATGGAGGAGTCCTGACCTGTAATATTTTATATAGAAAAGGTAGGGATTTTGACAGACCTTAAGTTGAAAAGGAGTTTTAAAGTAACCTGGCTCTAATAAATGTAATGCTAGAAATGTAATAAAATAAAGGAAAATAATATTTTACTATATTGCCTACTACCCAGACCTTGCTTCTCTTTTGATCTTCATGTTAGCTTTGTGCAGATATTTATCCTTTGTTTCATTTTCTGTAAATATGACTAATGATTAGACTGGCAAGATTCATTTAGTCAGCAAGTATTAACTGTATTTTATGTGAGTCATGTGATAGTTTCTGCTACTTTTCAGGAAAAAAAAAAAAAAAACAAGCACAGTCCCGCTCCTATTGTGAGAGAGGTGTCTTCTGTACAAATGATTCTAAAACATTTATGCATAGTTTATAACAAGTGTGGTTCTTCTTTTCATCAGTTCTCTAGGTCCAAGTGCATTGAAGATGATAGGGAGTGCAGCATCAGTGAAACGGAAAGAATCTTCCCATAGCTCAGCTCAGTCAAAAGAAAAGAAGAAAAAGAAATCTGCACTTGATGAAATCATGGAGGTACAGTTTATGAACTACCCATTAACTCAGCAGAGGAATGATATAATTCAAACCAAAGGAAATACAAATCATTGTACCAATTATTAGATTAGTATAAAATAAGAAAAGTGTAGATATACTGGTTTCAGGAAAAGTTTAGCTGCAGCATTGCTAGCCCCCTTCAGATAGGTTTATTTTGTTTCATAAAGTGTTGTCACTGAAACTCTGTGTAATTATGGTTAGTAGAATTCACTTACAAGGGCTTTGGTGGTAACTGAAATTAGAAATGGTGTCTGTTTTCATCTTCTGTGGCTCTGTGAAATTGGGACCCTCCATGGGTGTGAAGGAAAGGCCAGTGTGACTGGAACAATAGTGAGCACAGAGGGAAGAGTAGTAACATTTGAGGTTTTAGAGAATAGTAAGGGCAGCATCATGGAAGGGATCTTTTTCGTTTAATTCCAGGTAAAATGGAAACCCAGATCTATCTACTTTGAGTATAATACATGCAAAATTTGAGCTGTTCTTTGTTCATATTGGAAAAATGGAGGATTTAGAATGAGGTTTAGAATTAACCAATGAATTACATTCAGTGGCATTGAAAATCGCTACTTAGGGTTAACTTTAAGCAGCTGAGAAAGAAAGGGCATAATTCAGAGCCATAATGGCCAGACAGCACTTTTTTCCTTTGATTGCACTCTTATTGACTTCTCTCTTAGTTTCCCTTATTTTCCGAACTTTATCAAGTAGTTTCAGATTGCCATCAGACTATATATTGCCATCAGACTAAACGTAACGATGGCATTTAAGTTACGTTTTACCACATGAAGGAATCACATTTTCTAGCTCAGTGACAGTCACAGAAGAGGAAGCTGGCAGATCAGTTTGCAGCATTGACTGAATAGAGGTTTTTGTTTGTTTTCTTGGTCATTGACTTTCTTTAATACATGTGTATTTTTTTTAAATTCAGGGTTTATTTTCATCAAAAACTAGTTTCTAATGTTTATTTATATTTATTGGCACTTCTGAATTATATTATTGGTCTTCTATTGAAGTATGTGTTTTATAGTGTTCTTTTGCTACAAAAAGTGGTATTTGAAATAAACTGAAGATTATTTATTTCTTTATATTGTAATTTGGGTGAAAATTTACAGAGCAAATTCACTTTCCATACAGCAGTTCACATACACTTTGTCTCATGACATTGCCCACAATTCACCACAATGCAACAGCTCTCCTCCCACTTCCTCCCGACAGTCACCTCTTCCCTGTGTCCATCCCTCCAAGCACCCCTGCCCCCTGAGCTGTCTCCCTGTGCATAAACAGCCCTTTTTTCTCCCATGATTGTTCTCTAAATTGAAGATTTTTAAAAGATCATTTTATGAATGTCTTATGTGTTCTATAGATTGAAGAAGAAAAGAAAAGAACTGCCCGAACAGACTACTGGCTACAGCCTGTAAGTGTGCAATTGGAGCTTTTTAAGCTCCAAATCTACTTTTAATAGATCTAAATAGCATTTAAATGAAATAACTAAAATTTCAAATATATGTAAATTATATAGCTAGATTTATAGCTGTAATGAATTTTCTATTCATCTGTAATTATGGGTTGTACCTGAATTAGAGGATTACTTCTTGTTTATAGGCCAGTAATGTTCTATGACTTTAATGCTTATTTTGTTAATGGTACCTTGAATTGAAGCCTGAAATTATTTTCTTTTCGTTGTAAGACAAAAGTTTTCTCTTCAGAAATGAAATGAAAAGGTAGACTTATAAATGTGGAAATGCTTGTCTTCAACTTGAGGCTTATTGAGAATACCTGTTTAGGTACTTTGTAGCAAAAAGCAGATTTTAATATTACAGACCCAAGGAAGCTTTGCATTTTAGTGGTTGTTTATAATTGTTTAGTGTTTTAAAAATTGTTATTTGATGCTCTATTTAGAATTTACTGAGATGTGAAGTTTTCACAAAACTCACAGATTGCCTTAATTATTCTTAAAGAATCTGATTTGATCAATAACAAGAGGGTAGGAAATAATACAAACTCATGGAGATTTTATTTTTAAATTATGGAAATTTAGATACTAATTTCTGATTTAAGTTCAATAATAGCCCTGAAGGCCAAGAAGTCCAAAGTTCTAATTCAAATGTTCATAGTTATTCTTCCATTAGCTTGAAAATAATTTAGCTTCCATGTCTTGTTTATCTCCTTATATAATGGGAAACACTCCTATCTGGTAATGATGTGAAGAATCATGAAATAACTTACCTAACATGGAAATGCTTACTGTGTTAAATGGAAAATAAGTACCATGTATATATTTCAGTTAATTCTCATAATTCTATAAGGTAGTTACTGTTATTATTCCCATTTTATAGGTAAGGAAACTGATGCAGAAGTTGAGTAATTTTCTCAGGGTCATTCAGGAAGTGGTGAGCCAGAATTTCCCTGGCAATCTGATCCTGTAGCTTGTATTTTCAGTGATGAAACTACTTCCATTAGTTATCCTGATTTGCTGATCTGCTTGTTAATAGAAGTTTGGGTAAACTAATGGGATATTTCATGAGATGGAAAAATCTAATTTTCTTTATTATGAAATTAGTAAAGAAAGGACCTGTAAGGAAGAAACCATCTATTAATTATTTTGTGGGTTATGGTTTGTTTTTCCCTGTCAGTATAGGTGGCATTGGAATATTAACAGTTGCATATATTGCTTGTGAAAATATAGTCAAGAATCTTGTTTAAAATAGTATATACAGCATATACATTAAAATTTCTTAGGTTTTTTTTTTCAAAATACATATGCTTCATGCTACCCCAATCCAGTTTCTTGGGGAGAAGTGCATATTTTCACTAACCTCCCAAGTGATTCTGATGTGTGCCCATGATTAAGAACCATTAAAGGAAAAAGAAAATAAGTAAAAATCAAAAACCAAAAGCAAAACATTCCATTTTTAGTTAGTCTATAAAAAATAAACTAACAAACTTCTCATTGGTGACACTTTCAATTAAATTTTCTTTTCTATATGATAATTTTCTCATATAGTAAATTCTGATTTTTTTTCATAGCTCATCTTCCTAGATGTTATGCAGATAGTGTTGTAATGACCTTACCTGTCTCTTATCTTAAAATACCTAGCAGTTCATAAAGACTTACAGGGCTTTGTGTTTTAAACTCAGAAAAGAAATAATTTAACCACATCTATTGTGGACAAGGGTCAATAAGTACAATGATATAATGAGTTGTCTTCAAATGACAATAGTAAGGTATCCATAAAAGCCTTTGAGAAATTTCACCCAGAATTTCTCTGGCTAAATCAGATAAACTGCTTTGGCATTAATTGACTTCATTTAGAAAGTGTTAGTGCAGTATTTCCTGGATGGTGCAAATGGTTAAGTTCTTGACTGCTAACTGCAAGATTGATGATTCGAACCCACCCAGAGACAACTCTGAAGACACACCTGATGATCTGTTGAAAACCGTCTGGAACAGTTGTACTCTGCACACTTGTGGTCATTATGAATTGGAATCACCTCAGCAGCAATTAGCAAGTAAAGTAGAGACTTAACAATGTGACAACTCACAGATGTCTTTCTGCTATTAAATACTCTCCCCACAAAGTCCTTACTAAATTTTTGTTTATAGTTTTTAGCATGGCTTAATGAAGTACTTGTGACTATCTGATGCCTCTTTGTTATATTCACTTGAACTAGCAAATACAGAATCACTGCCATGAATATAGCAATAAGTCAGTCTATTTAATTTTCATTGTTGGCCTTTAGAAAGCTAAACAGAAAAGCAGTGATAAAGAAGTAAACTCAGAATTCATTAATATGAAACAAGCCCAGATTTCTTGCCCATTTGAGAATTAGATGCTCAGAAGAGAGATACTTTTAGCTAGAGCTATCTGGAGGAATCCTGTCTGTATTAAAAATTCAAAGCAGGAAATCGAGAAAATAACATGAAAAATGCCATGCATAAAATCAAAGGCTCAGTTCCTTGCAGTTTCCTGGTGACACCTTTGCGATCTGAGGTTTTATCAAGAGTGAACACTGACAGTATGATATTACTGATACTTTCCAGTTTCTTGGAGAGAAAGAAAGATGCTATCTTTGAAAGACATGATGAATTAAGATTTTATAGATTAAAGTCCTGGATTTCAAGAACTTTCGCTATCAAAAGTAGCCATTAGACATACACATTTTTTACTTCTTGGTAACTATGTTGAATAAAAGAAGAGAAAGAAGAACTGAAAGATTACCAAGGAAGTATTCTGCCATTGTTGGGAAGACTTAAAACTCCATAATTTCTTTCTTTCTATTTATTTATATTATTGTTGAGACTATCATAGCAGAACATACATCAATTCAACAATTTCTACATGTACAGTTGATTAGATTCTTTAAGTTGTATACCCATTCTCACCCTCCTTTTCTGAGTTACTCCTCCCCTGGTAGCATAAACTCACTGCTCCCTGTTTCCTGTCTAATTTTTTGGTAACTCCGTAATTTCTTATTTAGCAGAGTACATGATTTAAAATGGAGTAAAATAGAAAAGATAATTTTTGTCTTTCTTTTCATCTTTATTTTTTCTTATTGTTACTATTTAGGAAATCATCGTGAAAATTATAACCAAAAAACTTGGAGAGAAATATCATAAGAAAAAGGGAATTGTTAAGGTGAGGACAGGAATCTATGAATGGAATCTTTGAACAAATTTGATAGGTGACTGAATGAAGCTGTTCTGGTATTTCCTGTAATCTCTGCCTGGTAGCAGAGATATTGATGTTCTTGTTGACTCCATAAAGGGAAAGTTAAATTCATAATTGTTGGAAAAATATTTCATTTCCAAGAGTAATATATACTTAACCTTGGTCTGTTTTCTTACTTGGGCAAATTGTATACATTCATGGATGACATCTCATCAATATCTCTTAAAGTAACAAGTTGGTGTACATGCCTTGATAGTAAGATACATGCTCTTTGTTAATGACGGGCAGTATAATTATGCCCTGAGTTCCAAAGAGGTGTTTCTTGTGTTTTATGTTATCTCTCAGGCATCTTTTTTGACTGTTGTAGGATTTTATAGTTTATATCAATACTCTATTGCTTTTGTCCCCTTAGTTTTTCCTAAATATAGTTTTATTGTAGCACCTTGCCTTGTGCATGCATGAATTGCCCTTCTGCTATACTTTAAGCTAGGAAAAATAACCCCTCTTGCTCTCTTATTCTAAAATCACCAATCTCTTATTGTTTATGATAGAAAACCTTAACTAAGCTTTGAATTGAATTCTTGATTGAGAACCGTATGTTGAGAAACTATTTGGAATCTAGAAAGTAGTGTCTTTTACAGAAAGAATTACGTTTTATCTTTTGATTGGAATTTCATTTATTTTTGTCCTTTTAAATTTGTGTTCATTTTATAAAAGTGTTAATTTTGCATGACAGGAAGTAATTGACAAATACACAGCTGTTGTAAAGATGATTGATTCTGGAGACAAGCTGAAACTTGACCAGACTCATTTAGAAACAGTTATACCTGCACCAGGTAAATCTTTTTGCAGACCATTTAATGCGTATGCCATCAAAATGAGTGATTCCATTCCTAAACTATAGTTTTTGACATTAAGTGACGGTTATGGATAGAAGTTTCCTTTTTTAGGAATATGTAACTGCCAAAATAGTTGATCCTTATTTGATTTTGGGTAACTTGGTAGTTTATCAGTCCTCTCATAAAGCTGTTTGGGGGCATGAATGAATTTTTCATTTTTAGGATACATTTTTTTTTCTGAAGTAAAACAGGCATATGTGGTAAAATCAATCAGATTATGGTTATGCTAGTTTTAGGTACCTGATGTAATATGAAAATGTGTATTATTTTGCATTTTTTTCTCCTTAATTTTTTCTCTTAAGTACCATCTGGGTACTTAGATTTAATGATAATATCAATCTCTAAAATACATTCGTCATGTTTTTTATTTTTATTTTCCCACCTCACTCTTTTTTTCTTCTGTAAAATAAAACTAATCTTATGGATTGAAAAATAATTATTTTCCCTTTTATTGAGGTATAATTGACATTCAGTAAACCGCACATATATAAAATAATACAATTTGATAACTTTTAACGTGTGAAACTATCACTACAATTAAGATAATGTACATATACACTGTCCCCCAGAGTTTCTTCATTTCCCATCATAATTCCTCCCTCTTGCCTTTTTGCTCCTGCCTTCTCTGTCTTCCCAGGCAACCATCAGTCTGCTTTCTGTCATTATAGATTAGTTTGCATTTTCTAGAATTTTATATATGTGAAATTCATACAGTGTGTCATCTTTTTTTTTTTTTTTTTTTGTCTGGCTTCTTTTACTTACAATAATTATTTTAGATTGATCCATATTGTGACACATGTCTGTATTTCATAGTTCCTTTCTATGCTGAACTTCTTTGTATCAATATTTCACAGATTGTTTATCTAATCCTATTGATAGACATTTGGGCTGTTATAAATAAAACTACTGTGAACATTCATATCCAAGTCTTTATATGGACTTATGATTTCTCTTGGGTAAATACCTAGAAATGGAATGGCTCAGTCATATGGTAGGGATATGTTTAAAGTTTTACAAAATTGTCAACTCATCTTATGAATTTAAGAAAAAAGTGAACTGAATGAAAGTTTTCTGGTTATTTCTGGCCTGAGTGTTTCCTCCAAGTACCTTACACTTCTTACAATCTGAAACTAAGACATATCCCTTTAACAAATAAGTGAAATAAATGAAGAGTCTAATAAGGTTATAATAATCGAAGTATCTACAAACTATGCTTTAGAATATTATACAATTCTTAAATGATTAAAACTTCTAAGAGAAGGGTTTTGTTTTTGTTATATTCATTCAGCGTAACTGCATTTTACTATAATGGGATGAAAAAAGAAGTGGACATTTTCTTTCTTTTAAGTTTTATGTGATTTTCTTTTGTAGGAAAAAGAATTCTAGTTTTAAATGGAGGCTACAGAGGAAATGAAGGTACCCTAGAATCCATCAATGAAAAGACTTTTTCAGCTACTATAGTAATTGAAACTGTAAGTATGTTTACACAAAGACAGAAATTTCAAAATGCTTTTAAAAATACCATTGTTCTTTTTCATTGGCTTGGTCTTTGTTTTATTTTAGAGTTCGAGTCTTTTGCCGCCTTTCCTATTTCAGAAATCTTTGAGCTTATTTTCCCCAATGACTATGCCATTACTCAAGCATTTTATTCTCTAATTATAAAAGAAATGTATACTTACTGTATAAAACCTAAAAAATATAATTTAGTATAACTAGTTTAAGAAATAACATATAAACCCCCAGCTCAGTGATAACTCCTAATAATATTTTGATCTACTTCTCTCTAATCTTTTATAAAGTTTAATATAATATGAACAGTTTTTATTCTGACCTTTTTTTCTAATATCTGATCTAGAACTATCTAACATAGTAAAAATAGTGGGAGGAGTACAGTTATGGTTAATAGGGAAAGAGCCACAGAGATCAACATTTTTTTAACGTCTTATATTCTTTCATGGGGGTGCTCTGGTGGCATAGTGCCTAAGGCATTTGACTGCTAACCAGAAGGCTGGTGATTTGAACCCACCAGCCACTCCTAGGAAGGAAGATTGGGCAATCTACTTCCGTAGAGATACCCCCTTGGAAACTCAAAGAGGGGTCTCTATATGAGGCAAAATCGACTTGATGTCAGTGAGTTTGGTTTGGAGGTTTTTTATGTTCTTTCATAAAACTTTGGGTTGTTACATGCCATTGAGTTGGCTTCAACTCGGTCAGTGTACAGCAGAATGAAACACTGCCCTGTCCTGTACCATCCTCATAATCGTTGCCATGCTTGAGCTGATTTCATAAACCATGAACAGAGATCAAGAAAGTAATTAATTTAAAGGTCTCTGACATGAATAGAAGTGTTTGTTGCCTAATTCTGTTTAGAACTCTGAGGTACTATACTACATATCTTTGTCTTGAAATGACATAATTTTTGCGTCGAGTACAGTGATTTTTAGTGTTTTGGGGGATAATAGTCCCTTTGGAGAGATTGATGAATGTTTGAGACTCTCCAAAAAAATTGTACATATTGCCAAATTTTATATACACTCTTATGGAGTTCACAGACTCTCTAAGCCCATCCATGGACCTTTTTTAGAATATGTGTGTCAGGAAAGCTTTCTAGAAAAGCCATTTAGGCTCTTATTTGAATGAATGTACATTTAAGTAAATTAAGCATTTATTTTCTGTCCCTGCCAATAGTAACCCAGAAGCTGTCACTCACTAATGTAAACTATTTGGGGAAAAAAACCCAAAAACCAAACCCACTACCATCGAATTGATTCCAACTCATGGTAATCCCTATTGGGAAGTAGATTGCCTTGTTTTCTTCCCATGGAGCTGCTGGTGGATTTGAACTACCGACTTACCGACTTTCTGGTTAGCAGCCAAATGCCTTACCCACTATACCACCAGCGTTCCTTAACATAAACTACAAGGAGAAAAACAAAAAAGGAAGAGGGAAATCTGACATGGCATGAAAGAGTTTATCAGTCGGACTTAATCAACAGATTAAGAACATACATAGATTTTTCTTTTTGATACAATCCATATAATGTAATGGAAAATCCCATATTTCCTTGACTGATTGCTTGTTTTTCATTTTTTAATTTGTTAATACTATGAAATTTAGATCCTGTTCCATATTTTCATCTAAAGGATACACAAACCAATTGATTACTATTGAGGATATTCTAGTTTCAACTGAGATATCTTTGTATGTAAGATATCACAGTTTATAAGATTTCATCAAGAGCTAATTTCCTACCTCTCTCATTATAACCCCACAGTTTCATCTTCCTTTCTAATGCATTAACACACTCACCTCCCAAATTAAAAAAAAAAAATCACTGTACTAAGGATGAAAAATTCTGTCATTTAGTGATAAAGACATGCAACATATAGTACTTCACAGTTCTTAACAGAATTAGACAATTAGGAGAAAGACAAGTTTCTAATCTTTCCTTCTAAAAATAGTTCACATAAGACGCATTAATTCCTTATTATTAATTCTTTAATACCCCATGCACTGCCATTGAATGTCTACACAAATCCACCTAAAATACCTGTTGATTGCACAGCAGCCTGTACGTTTGGAAGAGGAAACCCAGAATATGTTGTGTGTTTGTTTCGTATGTCCCCATATTTTATCTGAGTCACTTCCACAATTAATTAATTAAAATTTCTGGCATTTTAAACTTCAGTGTCAGTTATCCTACTTAAAATTTACATATTTATTAAGCAGTAATTTGAAATTTACCATTTGTTTAGTGAGTAAATTGTTCACAAAACAGCCTTAGCTTTTTAGCTATTTGCCTAATAAGCCAAATCTGTAACTTCCTTCTTATTCCCCAGATTTGCCGTTCTTTCATAAAAATGTAATAGACCGTAGACCTTTAAATGTGATACTGAAGAATTCAACCAGGGTCATGCTTTATCTGCAAGCTTTTTCCCTTAAATAAAATCATTATTATATATTAAAAAGAATGACATTTTATAAAGCATTTTTTAAAGGAAGATATTCTCAGTCAAAAAAAAAACAACAAAATCTCAGTTCAAGGTTATAGTTATTGTCATCATCTTACATTTTGCAAGGTAGAGGATTGACTTTTAAATTTTAACCAAAAGATTTCATAATAATAAAATTTGACAGTTTTTATGCTCATACTCCTGTCATGTTGCAGGTATTGTTCTAAGCACTTAGATGTATTAACTAATTTATTCCTCCCAACAGCTCAATGATACGTGAAAAGTGCTAAATCACTTGTTGAAAGTGGGTTTTGAACTGGGCAGTCTGGCTCCAGAGCCCTGTCCTTTAACCTCTGCCTTCCTAGGTTGTATCAGCTTTTATGATAGGTGTTGTCTTTCATTAATTAGATTGTTTTCTTTTCCTTTTTGTTGAGTACAGAGGAAATAAGAGAGTATATTTAAAGTTGTATTTTTTTCCTACAATATAGGCCATAACTGTCAGTGCTGAACCAGGCAGACTAATGTTTGAATCTAAGTGTTTGTATACTTAAAATAATGATAATTTGCTGTAAAAAAGAAACCCCCGAGTTGATAATGGCATACACATGATAGAAGTGATAATGGCACAGATATGATAGATGGTTAACTTCTCATTCTAAGTGTGGAAATGGGTGTTCTTGTTCAGAGAGTGACCTTTTTTAAATGGTGATTTATGTCTTTACCATCTTCCACAAGTGGCTTCTTTGGTTGCCATGTATATGTGCATCACGCAGGCCAATGGGAAGTGAGCCTGATGGATTGCATGGGGCAGAATGCTATGGCCTGGGCCTGGACGTAGCACCCATCACTTCTGTTAACTTCCATGGTCTAGAGGTCTGTCATGTGGCCACACCTAACTGCAAGGGGAGCTGGGAAATGCAGTAATTATTCATCCAGGGAGCAGAAGAGATGCTGAATAGCTTGTGGATCTCTACCACAGTGCCTGTTAGTAGAGCCTCTCAGAGTTCTTTCAAATGCCATTGAAGAACATGTGGTAGTTCCTAATAAGAATGCTGTGGATGTTTTAAAATTTATAGAAGTATAGACATATCAGCTACCTTAATAGTATTTTAGGGATATGGAAAAGGTACATTTGTGTCCATAAGAATGATGTCATGTGCTTGTCTTTTAAGTACATGTGTGTTTTTAACCTTTTTTAAAAATTATTTTAACTTGTAGGGCCCTTTAAAAGGACGCAGAGTTGAAGGAATTCAATATGAAGACATTTCTAAACTTGCCGGAGTTTGAAAATTTGTTAACAACGCATTAGAATTCCAAAGCATCAAATTGGTGTTCTCTAAGGCATTATGAAACTCTACTGTGTTAGGGTGTTTCTTTTGTATAAAACAAATGGATTTATTTAAATATTACTGTATAATTGTTCAGTTAAACTTATATAAAAATCTAATTATGTCTTGATGTATCAAAACTGTATAATTTTGTCTGTTAGTTTCCTTTGTAATATTTTTTGATCTTTATTAAAGGTTATTGTGAAGTGTTTTATACAAGATAATTTAGAATCATAATTGAAGGAAATCCTTCACATACTCTATATTTCAGAAGTATAAATATAATAGCTATAAATTTAAAATTGAACTGTAAATGGAACAGCTTTCTTGAAATACAATTCACTTACTATACAATTCACCCATTTAAAGTGTATAACTCAAGTGTTTTCAGTATGTATTGTAGAGTTTTGCAACCATCACTGCTATCTAATTTTAGAACATTTTATGACTTCGAAAACAAAAAGCTTGTACCCATTAGTAGTCAGTCCCTAAACCCCTCTTTTCACAGCCCCTGGCAACCACTAATCTACTTCATGTCTATATGGATTTGCCTACTCTGAACATTTTATATAAATGGAATTACAATGTGTTCTTTTTGACTGGCTTCTTACACTTAGTATATTTTCAGGGTTTATCCATGTTGTAGCAGGTATCACCACTTCATTCTTTTTTATGGCTGAATAATAGTTTCTCTCCCACTCTCTCTCTCTACATATATATATACACCAAGTTTTGTTTATCCATTCATCAGTTAATGGACATTTAAGTTATTTACACTTTTTGGCTATTATACATAATGCTGCTATGAACATTCATGTGAAAATATGTTTTCAGTGTTCTTGGGTGTATAGCTAGGAGTGGAATTGCTGAATCTCATAACTCTAACATTTTGAGGAACTGCCAGATGTTTTCCAAAATGGCTATGCCATTTTATAGTCCCATCAGCACTGTTAAACTTAACCAATCAACCAATTGCAATCAAGTCACTCATGACTCATAGTGAGTGACCCTGTATGTTTCAGTATAGAGCTGTGCTCCATTGGGTTTTCATTGGGTGATTTTTTGGAAATAGATCACTAGGCCTTTCTACCAGGCCACCTTTGGGTGGACAAGAAACTCCAACCTTTCAGTTAGCAGCCAAGCATTTAGTCATTTGGACCACCCAGGGACTAATGGTGAACTATACATTTTTAATAAGTACGATAATATATTACTTAAACCCACTGCTGTTGAGTAGATTCTGACTCCTATCGACTCCTATTTGGTTTCCGAGGCAATAAATCTTAACAGAAGTAGACTGTCCAGTCTTGCTTCCATGGAGTGGCTGGTAGGTTTCAACCACCAGCCTTCTGGTTAGCAGTCAGATGACTTATGCACTATGCTACCAGGGCTCCTGTGTATTACTTAGGGTTACAAAAGATAGAAGACCTACTTCACATTTTCTTAAGCAAGAAAAGGAAAAGGAACTGGTTTACATATTTGAAAAGGAATAGACCCTAGCTTCAGGAGCTGTGGGATCAGAGTAACATTTTTCAGATGTCTCTGCATATCTGGCTTCCTCTTTCTTGGCTCCATAGTCAGGAGATGACAAAACATCTCCAAGCTTACATCTTATCTTTCTGCAATAATAGTAAAAAATAACCTTGTATAGGAGCT